TCAGCCCACAAAGGATGCACGCACCCAACCACATACACGAATACGCCCCCCCGTCTGCGAGACCAACCTCGAGACACGACGGTTCGCGCAATTTATACTGTCGGAACCAACAGGGATTCATGTACGTGTACATAGCGGGGATTCATGTACGTGTGCGTAACGAGGGATGGCGACCCCGACCCCCGACCTTGGGAGGTTCTCGTTCGGTCCAATCATTTTGTGCCCAAGTCTGGGACATACGATGGGGGGGCGTCTGAATAGCTACCTGCAGGTGTGCATCCTCGATAGGGCTGCCTCCGAACAGCCACCTGAAGGTGTACCCCCGACTTCCCCCTTCTCTTCAGAGCGCCCTGATTTTTCGGGGGCAGCTCGAGGACCGACGAGGACAAGCAAGGGCCCCCCCCCCGCAGCGGACCGCCTTTCAACAAGAACCTCCTCTGGGAAGTGGGGGGACGCGCGGAGCGCGCCGAGCCCCCCGGCTGGTCGGCCAGCGAACCAACCTCTGTCGGCGAGAGCCTCCTCTGGGGGAAAGTGGGGGCGGGGGGGGGGGGAGCCCCAACAAAACGCCTCGCGGCCACGACGGGGGGAGGTGCCGCTGCGAGCCTGGGAACGACGCCTCCCCAGGTGAGGGGCGACCGGGACCCGCCCCGTTGGGGGCGACCGGCTCGCCCCTCGGTGGCTCAAAGATGGGCTCCTGAGGGACGGGGTCCTACGAGGGAGGTGCCTCAAACAACGTAAATCCAACCTTGGATCCCTTCCCATCCTCAGGGCCGCATCCCTCAGGACCCCATCTTTGAACCACCGAGCCCAATGGGGGCCTGACTGGCCCCCTCGCGACTGGTCCCCTCCTGTGGCAGTCGGAACCGCTCCTGCCGGCCACAGGGCCCAGGACGAGCCCCGAGAGACCGGCCCGCCTAGAAAGCACAGCTTGGGACCCATCTAGGAGGACGATTTCCCCGAGCTCAGCTTGGGGAAATCCTCCTCCTCGTCCTTCTCGATCCTCGATCCTCGATCCTCCTCCTCTCCTCCTCCTCCTCCCCCTCCTCCTCTCCTCCTCCTCCTCCTCCGCCTCCTCCTCCTCCTCCTCCTTCCTCTCCTCTCGGCGGCGAGCGGGGGGGGGGGAAGTGAGAAGGGGAAGGCCTTCTCAGCAGGCGGCGGGACTTCTCAGAAACCCTCGCGACTACTGAGAGGTTTGTTGTTTGTGTCTTCGGGGAAGGCTCAGAAACCTTCTCAGAAGGCCGGGGGGCCTTCCGAGCCTTCTGAGAAGGCCTTCTATTTCTCACTTCCCCACCTCGTTCGCCGCCGATGTACAGTAAGCACTGCTAGTAAGGATGCGCGATGAGGATGCAAGGGCCTTGGAAGGCCATGCCGACACTTTTCGATCGGTGCGCGGCCAGCGAAAGTGGCCAAGGATGGGTCGAAGGGACAGGATGCAAAGGCAACCTTGCAAGAAAACTCCTCCTTCCTATCAATGTTGACTGTACTGGGGGGGAACGTCACGGGGGGACCGGCTCAGGGGGGAAACATCGACCCCGAATCGGCGACGCATCGCCGATAGATCGGCGACCTGCCCTCGACGGCAAATACGCATGATCCTGGACGGGGTGAGTACTGGCGAGCAATGGGCGACTGGGGGTCGATGCATCTCCCCCTGAGCCGATCCCCCTGTTACGAGAGGAGGAAGCCGTACGGCGTACATATAAACGGTATAAACTTTCGGAGCTCCGCGCGGATTTCGAGGATCGGCGCTGGACCCCCCTCGCAGGCGCGGGGAGCGCACCAAAGGCGGCGCCGCAAGGTGCCGCCACGGGGATTCCGCGCAGCTCCGAGAACTCCGTGCGGAGCCCAGGAAGCGTGTGCTTATGCCGTCTGTTCTCTCTCTCTCTCTCTCTCGAAGCGTTGCCCCAGATGCGTGCTGAGCTCCATGCGGGTGTCGTGCTGGAGCAGTTCCCACGTGGCGCCGGAGACGTGGAGGCCGTTGCGTACGCCGGTGCTCTGCATCCTCCCACGCAGAAGGGCACCCCTGTGCAGCACCGGGCCTGGCAAGGGCCACCCTGGGCCGTGGCACGGTGTCTACTCGGCGGCGCGCCGAGGGGGGGGACCGAGACGGGTTTCGGAGACGGCTTGGAGAGCTTCTCAGAGGGCCGGAAGCTCTCTGCCCCCTCGGAGAACGCCCGCCCCCTCTGCTTTTCGCCCCTGGCCGCGCGCCGCGGATGTACGCCCTCCTGGCCGAGGCCAGGAATATCTATACCTCGCTGGTCAATCGGCAATAGGCCTCCGATGGCGAATCCGCACGCTCCCGGGGCGGAGTGGGGCTATCCGGCCCTTTGTGATCGGCGATCCATGGGCCATTGCGGGTCGATGCGTCCCCCCTATGCCTACAGTCGACCCGTATCGTCAGGATGCACGGTGCGGATGCGGGGGCCTTGGAAGTTCGAAGGCCGTGTCAAAGCTTTTCGGGCGGGGCGCGGCCAGCGAAAGTGGCCGAGGATGGACCGAGGAGGCAAGGATGCAATTACCCTTGGGACCAGGGCTGGACCTAAACGTCGATTTTCGTTTTGCGTTCGTTTTGAATCTCGTTCCGCTCTACCTGCTTTACAATACCTCCCTGCCCAACTGGAAAACATAACACCGCCGATGTCCAGCAGAACAGCGTTTAGGTCCAGCCCTGCTTGGAACAAGTGCGCATCCTTGCTGTGCAGGTTGACTGCATCCCCCCGCTGTCGTTGCCTTAGGTCGGGCATGTCCCCCATACAGACGGTGTTTCGACAACACATTAAACATACCAAGGACATATTCAAACAACAATGAAGAATGGTCAAACAATAGTCCCTCGAGTATTTTTCAAACTATTTTCAAAGACGTGCCCGACTTAATCATTGCCCCTGAATGCACCGCCGCCCTATGGGCCCAGCGTGGCCCTGGCCGGCCACGGTGGTGGCGCACAGGCCCAGACCTCCGACTTCGTGCGAAGCTCTCACTCGGCGGCGAGCGCGGGGGGGGAATCTCGATCCTCGATCCTCCTCGATCCTCGATCCTCCTCCTCTTCCTCCTCCTCCTCCCGCTCCTCCATTCCTTTCCCTTATAAATCACTTCTCACTGTCGCATCCCGAGGTCAGTTTTTAGGGCGGGCCGGGCGTTGCGCCTGAGACTTCCCAACCATTTATGATTCTGAAACTGAAAAAGTGGCAACAACTTCATAGATGGAGCGCGGGTGGTTTCCAAAATGTGGCTTCCAAGATGGCGCGGCGCACACTCGTTTTAAACATTTGCATGAGCGTCACGGATTGAGGGCGGGTCGTTTTCAAAATGTGCTTCTCGGATTTTCGCCGTGCACATTCGTTTTAAAGCTTTGCAGATAATCCACGATGTGAGGGCGGGTCGTTTACAAAATGTGCCTCTCGCCTTAGCGCGGCGCACATTCGCTTTAACCATTTGCAAGAGCTTCACGGGTTGAGGGCGAGTGGTTTTCAAAATGTGGCTCTCGCCTTAGCGCGGCGCACATTCGTTTTAAACATTTGTATTCGTTTCACAGGTTGAGGGCGAGTCGTTTTCAATATGTGGCCCTCGCCGTAGCGCGGCGCACATTCATGTTAAACATTTGCAAGAGTTTTACGGATTGAGGGAAGTTCCTTTTCAAAAGTGGCTCTCGCCTTAGCGCTGCGCACACGTGAAAAAACTGCAAAGTATTCACGGATTCCCATCATCAACGTACCAGAAGTTGTGTTTTTTGAAGGATTCAGGATTATGCGGGTGCAACAGTTACGTTGATTCTCTGTGTCGAAAACCTAGGAATGGCGTTCTGGCACGATTCAGGATCGCCAAGACGTAATAATGAGGTTGATACGTGGCGTTGGAGTCCCGAGAACAATGTTTTGGTATGCTTCAGGGTCTTCAAACGGGTGTCTTCCAACGAGGCAGTTCCATCAATGGAAATGAACCGTTGTAGGAGCCTATGAAGAGGGAGCTTGGAGGGAGGGTATCCTCCAACATCGTTGATGACTCTTGGGCTTACACTGGTCCTCCTCCTCCTCCTCCTTCTCCCGCTCCTCCTGCTCTCGACGGCGAGCGCGGGGGGGGGGGGAGGGGAAGTGAGGCGGAGAAGGCCTTCTCGGAAGGCGGCGGGGCTTCTCAGAAGCCCCTCTCGCCCTCTGAGCATGTTTAGTTTTTCCGTTTACTCGTGCCTTCGACGAAGGCGCCACCGAAACTTCTCAGAAGGCCGGGGGACTTCTCACTTCCCCCCGGGCTCGCCGCCCATTCCCAGCGTGGGCTTAGGTCGGGCGTGTCTCCCTGCAGGCGGATCTTGGACGAAAAGTTAAACCATTCAGAAACAAACAAAAAAATGACGAAACTTGTTGGACGAAAATTGTTGGACAGAAGCTATCCAAAAAATAATCAAAAAGTAGTCCCCGTGCTATTTCTTGTCTACTTTTCAATATTCCTCCTGTCGAGGGACAGGCCCGACTTAAGCGTGGGCACGCCTCGAAACCTGTGAGCTCCCCTCGCCGGGGGCCCGCTCTTACGGCCCACCGGGGCGTCTCGTGCTGACGGCCCACCTGCCAAACCACCCCAACCCAACCCGAAGACCCGAGTTTCGGGTTTGGGTGGGGGTACGGGCTCCATGCGTGTTTTTCCATGCTTCCCCGACACCCCCCCCCGCCGGAGATGGAGGGCAAATTGAAGCCTTCGGGCAGGGCTGGGGTGGTTTGGTGGGCGGTGATTAACGGCTCCGGGGGGCCCGCATTCGTCGGAGGAGGGCCCGTCAGAGACCACGGCGGCTCTCCCGCCCGGCGCACATGTCCGCTCGACGTCGGTCCCTGGGCCCCCCTCGAGATCCGGTCGAAACCCGCTGCATCCGGACCCAGGACGCACAGAGACATACCAATGTCATGCTGCTCCCATCGTGCTCAAGGACCCCATCCCAGACATAATCTCGAGCACCCAGAGGAGTATCGAAACAGTGTCGAACGAGCATGCCCCCCGGGGCCCCACGCGTGAAAACCCTCCAGTCTCGGTAATTTCTTGGTGCTCGAAATTCTTTCTGGTGTTCCAGGCTAAAGTAGGTTTGAACATCATCGTATTAAAACCATACGTCCTCCTTGGAGGCGCGCGCCCGACCCGAACGCATAGCGTACATGTCATGCAGTAGATCGTTTCCCGGTGTGGCCAGACAGCGCCCGCCACGACGCATACACATATACTATAAGATTTCTTGGTGCCCGCGTCGCCCCTGGGGGGGGCGACGCGCACAGAGTATTAGTATGTTGGGGTGACGCCGATGTCCAGTCTCTCGAGGTGGATCCTGCCACGGAGGCCAGGGGCCTCCAGATAGAGGAAGCAAGAGCGGCATGCACGTCAGCTCTCGGAGGTCCGCGCCGCTTCCTTGGGACCTGCGCTGCGCACCCCTCCCTGGCGCGCGGGGCGCGCCCGCCGCGCGGAGCTCCGAAAGTTCATGCTCATGCGGCTTTTTCTCCTTCGACTCCGGGAGGCACAAGCGTTAGATCGGGCGTGTGCTCCTACGGGCGGATTTCGGGTGAAAAAAAGAAAGTCAAAACAAGCATGGCAAAACAAATAGAAAAATCGTCCCCAGACTATTTCCCAACAGTCCCGTGGTGTTGGGTCCTCGTTTTGAAGGGACGGTCCCCGCGTTCCTCATCCTTCCTTCCTCCTCCCTCCCCCTCCTCCCCCTCCTCCCTCCTCCCTGCGTGTCACCCACCCAGTACAGCGTTTCGTGCCCCCTCAGGGAGCATCACGGGGGGCCCCAGTGACACCGCCCGCATGCGCCCCCCCCACCCAGTACAGCGTTTCGTGGCGCCATCTGGGGCTCCACCGAAGGCCCCAGTGCTACCGCCCGCATGCGTCCTCTCCACCCAGTACAGCGCTTCGTGGCCCCATAGGTAGCGCCACCGAAGGTCCCGGTGTATCGCCCGCATGCGTCCCCCCCACCCAGTACAGCGCTTCGTGGCCCCATAGGCAGCTCCACCGACGGCCCCAGCGCTACCGCCCGCATGCGTCCCACCCACGAGGTACAGCGCTTCGTGGCTTCACCCTTTCCAGTACAGCGTTTCGTACACAGTACAGCGTTTCTTCGCCGCATAGAGGAGCTCCACCGACGGTCCCTCTGCTACCGCCCCAATGCGTCCCCCCCACCCAGTAAAGCGTTTCGTGGCCCCATAGGTGGCTCCACCCACGGCCTCAGTTACACCGCCCGCATGCGCCCCCCCATCCCAGTACAGCGTTTCATGGTCCCATAGGGAGCTCCACCGACGGCCCCAGTGCTGACGCCCGCACGCGTTCCCCCCTCACCCAGTGCAGCGCTCCGTGGCCCCGTAGGGAGCTCCAACAACGGCCCCAACACTACCGCCCGCATGCGCCCCCCCCGCCCGGTACAGCGTTCCGTGGCCCCCATAGGGAGCTTCACCGACGGCCCCAGTGACACCGCCCGCATGCGCCCCCCCCCCACCCAGTACAGCGTTTCGTGGCCCCGTAAGCAGCTCCACCGACGGCCCCAGTGCTACCGCCCGCATGCGTCCCCCCCCACCCAATACAGCGCTTCGTGGCACCATAGGGAGCTTCACCGACGGCCCCAGTGGTACAGCCCGCACGCTTTCGCCCCCACCCAGTGCAGCGCTTCGTGGCCCCATAGGGAGCTCCATCGAAGAAGACATTCACAATTGCGGTATTCACAACTTTATATGGATGGGTCCTTCGCCAGCATTATTGCTTTAAGAGTATTTTTGAATAGTCCCCCTTCAGAGGGACACGCTCGACTTCAGGAGGAGGGAGGACGAGGAGGAGGAGGAGGAGAAAGAGGAGGAGGAGGAGGAGGAGGAGGAGGAGGAGGAGGAGGAGGAGGAGGAGGAGAGTTGATGCTTATGCGGCGTTTTCTCCTTCGACTCCAGGAGGCCCAAGCGGGACGACGCTCACGAGGGCCGCCGCTGTCCCGGCGGGCCTTCCTCCTCCGAGCCATTGGGCGACGAGGTCTGGGTGGATGCTTGGCGGCGCGCACAAGGGGGTGTGGGGGGGGGGAGTAGAAGACGAAACAACGACATAAACATAGACTTGTGACGCTCCGTGCGGATTTCTTGGATCTGCGCTGGACCCCCCCTCCCTGGCGCGTGCAGCGCTCCAGGGGCGGCGCCAGAGGCACCGCTGGGGGGGACCAGCGCAGATCCAAGAAATCCGCGCAGAGCGCCAATAGTTTGTGTATGGCGTTTTTTCTTCTTCGAGGGAAGGCTTCTTAGAAGGAGGCTGCTCCTCAGACGGCTCCGGCCCTTCATCTGTAGACAGCGCCCGCGCCTTGTAAGGAGCAGGAACGCTTGCAAGAAGCCTTCCCTCCCTCCCCCCAGAACCCCCCTCTGCGCGTGGCCGAGAGGCCTCCTCTGCGGATCCTCGAGGCCGTGTTGACGGTGTCGCCGAACAACGCGAACTGCGGCTTCCACGCGCCCACCACGCCGCTCAAGACGCGGCCGGTGTGAGCCCCGATCCTGACGGACACCTGTGCGGCCCCGCCGTCCTCCGACGAGCCGATGAAGCGGCGCGCCCGCTCCTGCGGAAGCACACAACTGGAGCACAATGTACAATACGCACGACTTGTTCGGAACTCCGTACACTTCTCCTCTGTGCCTCTGGGATTCCTGTAAGAATCGGGCGACGTCAACTGACCACCACACCGAGCTCGATCTTGGCTTCCCCAAGCGCGCTTGGGGCGGCGGGGAGGGGTGGGTCCAGCGCAGGGACCAAGAAATCCGTGCGGACTTCCGAAAGTCTGTCTGTGTCACTGCTTCTTCGAATAATGACCACCAAGAGGCCAGGCAATCGGAACGCGGCCAACACGAGAGCCTGCAGGAGCAGCGGATATCGGATCTTGAAGTCGGATCGGATCGGAAAGCGCGTCGAATCGGGCGGCATCAGCAAGGAGTCGGAATCCGATCGAATCGGCCGCGCCAGGATGCACAACAACGCCATGCGAATACCGGGCCAGATCGGAACGTCGGCACATCGACATCGGATCCCACCGAGCTGGACATGACCATAACCGGATCGGATCGATCAAAATGAGGTGAGCCCTGGTGGGTTGAGAAAACATCAGCCCCGTCCAGATAAGCACAAGGCTGCATCAGCACACACTGTCGGAGGTCAGCTCGGATTTCTTCGATCGGCGCTGGACCCCGCTAGCGGCGCTTCCCTGGCTTACAGAAGGGGGTCCAGCGCCGATCCAATCAATCCGCGCGGATCTCCGAACGCTTGTCTTCACGTGTTTTGTTTGTCGGTTGTTTCATTCATCTTGGAACTTGACCGAGATCCCACGGCTTCACGAATCTCCAACCGATTCGCGTTCCAGGATATATACGAGCCCTCCCTAATAAGGCGAATGCCTAACCTAACCTGACCCAGCCCCTGCCGACACTGCGCCAAAGCTACCATGACCCATTAAAGCTAACGTGACCAACGGCTCGGCGACACCAGTGTGTCACGCGCGCGAGCGGTGTAGCACATGTTGCGCCAAAGACATTGCAAAGCGAAAGTGCAAACTGTATCACTGATCCCTCTTCGGCTCCAATTAAGAGACTGGCCGGGGCGAGAGCAACTTTCGTAATCGTGGATCTGGCTGCGCTAAGGCGAGAGCAACAAGCGCAATCATGGACGTGGCTGGCGCTAAGGCGAGGGCAACTTTCGCAGTCGTTGATGTGGCCGGCGCTGAGGCGAGGGTGACTTTCGCAGTCATGGGCGTGGCTGGCGCTGAGGCGAGAGTATCTTGCAATCGTGGATGTGGCCGGCGCTGAGGCGAGAGCACCCGTCGTAGTCGATGTGGCTGGCGCTGTGGCGAGAGTGGAGTTCACAATCATGGATGTAGCAAGCGCTGCAGCGAGAACAACGTTCGCAATCATTGATGTGGCCAGCGCTAAGGCGAACAGAAAAATCTCAACCAAAGATGAGACTGGCGCTGAAGCGAAACCAACACTCGCAGTCATGGATGTGACTGGGGCTGAGGCAAAAACGACAGTCGCAATAATTGACCCTCGGTGAGGCCAGAGCATTCGTTGCAATCGTGGGCGAAGTGTCTCACACCACGCGCGCACCGGCTCTAGCGCAACAAGCAGCACCACTTGGATGAGCACTGCCAGAAGCAGCAACACCATGCGGAGATGAGTCTGGCGCGAAGGCGAGAATGACACGCTCAATGAAGGATGTCGCCGGCGCCTTGGCGACGGCAACATTTTCAATCAGACACGTGGCCCACGCACAGGCGAGAACGGCATGCTAAATGAAGGATGGCGCTGGCGCCTCGGCGACATTAACATTGTCAATCAGACATGCGGCCCACGCACAGGCGAAAACTACATGCTCAATGAAAGATGTCGCCAGCCCCTAGGCGACAGCAGCATTTTCAATCAGAGATGGCCCACGCACATGCCGCAGCATCATTCCGAGACAAGCGTGTCGCCAGAATGAAGGTGTCACGCCCACGCCACGCGGGCGCGGTCGCGGCTCGGTGTTACAGAGGTCCAGGTGAAGTTAGGTCGGTAGTCCACGTTAGAGGGGGGGGAATGTAATCCGAGACTAAAGCACCTCTCCAGGCCCATGGATGCTGCCCTGGGCCCTCGTCCCAGCTGCAGGCGCAAAGCTTGCTGAGCCACCCAACCCTGCGCACCACGCCCTCCGATGCGCGACGCCTGGCTACCTTCGCGACCTCGCGCCACTCCACTGCAGAGGGGCAACTGACTACCTACCAGACCACCCCAACCCAACCCGAAGACCCAAACTTCGGGTTGGGAGGGGGTGCGGGCTCCATCTTTCAATGTTCCCGGACGCGCCCCCACTGGGAATTTGGGCGCCCGAGTTATCCGGGGTGACTCGGGTCTGGGGTAACTCGGGTTAGGATTCCCGAAAAACGAACCCGAATTAGCCATGACCCGAGTTGCCCCTGATGACCTGGGGCTCTGGACAACCGAATTATCTGGGGTAACTCGGGCCCGGGGTAACTCGGGATTGGATTCCCGAAAAACGAACCCGAGTTAGCCCTGACCCGAGTTACCCCTGATGATTCGGGACTCTGGACGCCCGAGTCATCCGGGGCAACTCGGGATCGGAACCCCGAACAACGAACCCCAGTTAGCCCTGACTCAACTTACCCCCCAGACATGCGACGTCCTGATTTTTTCAGGACGGCGTCCCTGGAAGTCCAGACGCTTTCCCCAGGGCCAGCTTTTCATCCCGAGTCGTTTTTTTGATCCTGTCTGGGCCTGACGACTCGGGGCTCCGAGGAATGGCAGTCGCTCGGGCCCGGAACCCGCGACGCGCGGCTGCCTCTGCGCCCCGGCGGGTGGCCCAGAACTCCCGGAGGGGGGCCCCGCGACGCGCCCCCTGCAGACACCCCCGCGACGGTATCGGCGCGGCCGGAGGCGGGCAAGCTCGCGCCGCGAGGACGCCGGCGTCGGCTCCCGCCGGCGGAGGCGGCCTCCTCTTTTACTTCCGCCGACCTCCCGCCGCGGAAGAGATGACGACTCCGTCGATCCCCAAGGGCAAGGCTTAGGTCGGGCGTGCCCCCCTACCGGCAGATTCTGGGCGCACAATTTAAAGCACTCTGGAAAACATAATCGAAAAAGAATAAAAAACAGTCCCCAGACTACTTTTTGGTTATTTTTTAATGCAGTCAGCCATAATAGTAAGGATGGGCAACCTTCCCAAGGGTACCCTTGCATCCTTGCCTCCTCGGTCCATCCTTCCCCGCTTTCGCTTGCCGCGCCCCGCTCGAAAAGCTTCGAAATGGGCGTCCGAGGCCCTTGCATCCTCATCGCGCATCCTTACTGTACTTGTTGACTTTGTTCCTCCTTTAGAGGGACGGGCCCAACTTAAGGCAAGGCCCTCTTGTGGAACGCCCCCTCTGTCGATTTGGAGTCCCGAAACGGTGCTGTGACAGACCGTGCGGTGACCTCGAAATCCCCCAAGACCTCACCGCACGGCCCGTCACCGCACGGTCTTGGGACCCTGGAGGCCCCTGTCGCCCGAGACATCCTCGGAGAACGACCCGAGTCCCAAAACCGTGCGGTGACCCCGACTCCCCACCGACTCACCGCACGGTGTGGTCACCACCCCAGTGGGGGGCCCCCGAGTCGACTCTGGGCCGCAGGCGGCGCTCGCGAGCCCAGAGCGCGCCACTGCGGGGCCCGCCGCCGCGCCAGCAGCGGCGCGAGCCTGCCGTGCGAGCACGCCCTGCCTTGCCGTCGCTCCGACGTCCATTTCCCGTGCTTTTTGTCGGCCTCGTGCGTGTTGTTTTTGCTCGATGGTCCAGGAACGTCCTCGATGGTCCTCGCCGAGAAAACGTGCACACGTCCGAGCGATGCCAAGCTGCCTGGCTTCGTCTCTTCGGCGGAGGGCGGGTCTCGGGGGCGCGCAGACGTGGCTTCGCGATCCGGGGATTTGGCGCGCGGTCGATCCTTGGATTGGGGGAGGTGCCCTCCCCAAACATTCGGGGGCGCGCAGACGTGGCTTCGCGATCCGGGGATTTGGCGCGCGGTCGATCCTTGGATTGGGGGAGGTGCCCTCCCCAAACATTCGGGGGCGCGCAGACGTGGCTTCGCGATCCGTGGACTTGGCGCGCGGTCGCCAAAATCCGTGGATCGGGGGAGGTGCCCTCACCAAAGTGCGGTCGGTGCCGCCTCGTTCGGCTGCGGAAATCTGCGGTGTCCCCCGGAAGCGGGACCCGTCGCTTATCCACGCGCGCGCCCCCTTGATCCATGTTTGCGATCGCCTGGAAGTCGAGACAACAGCAACTGAGAACCGGTCTCCCAACCCCTCCTGGGCCCCAGGGGGGGTCGGGGGACTGGTTGTGAGTTGCCGTTTGGACCCCAAGAGCCCTGGGGTCCAAGCACACTCACTAATTTCCTCCGCCGCGGCAAGCCGCCCCCCCCGCCCCCCGACGTCCAGCTGCCGCTGTATCCACTCGCCCTCTTCTGAGTGCTTTGTCCATCAAATGAGCGATGATTAAAAACGAGCCTTACGCGAGATGACGTAGAGACCTCGCGCGGCGGCTTACGCGGGCCGCCAGCGCGGCACGCCGCTCTGGAAAAACAAGGGCGCTTCACGCGCGCGAGGGGAGCTGGCGCGCCAGTGTCGCAGCAGTTGGCCCCTTCGTTTTTTTCTGCCGCCCGAAGGAAGTGGCGCGCTCCTCCAGCATGGAGATGGCCGTGGTCACGACACGGACCGCGTCCCGGGCCTGCTGGGCGGGGCCGCTGGCGGGCTCCGCCGGGCCGTCGGGCAGCGCCGCGGCCATGTAGGTCTTGCCGACCTCCCGGGCGGCGACCCCTTTTTTATCGGGTCGGCGACCGCAGGGCCCTGCGCGGCGGTGGGCCCATGGGGCAGGGGAGAAGGCTGAGGTCTTCTCAGAAGCCACCCGCGGCTTCGGGGGCGGCCTGCTGTGGCTTCGGAGCAGGCCTACGAGGCTTCTCAGGAGGCGTGGATGGTTCCTGAGAAGCCCCCACGCCTTCTGTGAGACGGCGACCTGGGCTCACTTCCTCCCTGGGCACGCTGCCGACGTGCGAGCTCACGAGCGACGACCGCACGAGCGACGACTGAACATGAGTGACCTCGCCAGCAAAGGATATGTGATCCTGGGCTCCAGGCCCACGGGCCCCCCGGCCCCCAAATGGGATGAGTCTCAAGGTCCAGCGGCAACGGCGACGGCGACGGCGACGACGACGCCAACGGCAACGACGGCGACGGCGACGGCGACGACGACGACGGCGAGGACGGCGACGACGACAGCGACGACGACGGCGACGACGACGACGGCGACGACGACGACGATGACGACGACGACGATGACGACGGCGACGACGACGGCGACGACAGCGGCGACGACAGCGGCTGCGGGGGCGGCGGCGGCGCCGACCTCCGGAGCCCTCCTCCTCCGGCGACGACGACGGCGAAGACCTCCAGAGCTCTCCTGGAGCACCACAGTACCACGCCACACACGCCACACCCACAGGGGGGGGGGGCATCGCGCGGGAGGGGGGGGGCGATGGCACCAGCATGAGGGGGGTAGCGGAGCAGACCATGGCCCATGTAAATATACACACATATGTATATATACATATATATATATATGTATATATACATATATATTTAAAACATCGATCCTTGCCCTCCCGAGTGTGGACGCCGAGGCGCGATGCGGTGGATGCGCGATCGCACGGATGCGCTCCCGCCTGGGGCATCCGCGCGAAGCCGCACCGTGGTCCACGGGCCGCGGGGCCGTGGACAGGGATGCAGAATCGCGACGGATTGCAGGGAGGGCGCCCGAGAAGAAACGAGTCTCTCCCGAGGGCAACCCGTGCTCCAGACTAGACACGGGGGAGGAGAAGGAGGAGGAGGAGGAGGAGGAGGAGGAGGAGGAGGAGGAGGAGGGGCACTCCTCATTCTGCAGGACATGCCCACCAAGCATACTCAACTACACCTCTGCGGGCTTTTCACCCCCCCATGATGGGAAAACCTATCCTTTCTTCGTGCGGGCTTCCTGACGGATTGGGACCCGAACAATACTTGGAAAATGGTTGTTCCCAGCCGTACTTGGGGACAAATGTTCCACCCAGGCCGCCGCCGTCGTCGTCATCGTACTCATAGAAGGCCGCTTGAGGGCCCCAGAAGGTCACCAACGCAAGGGAGTGGAAGGACGAGGAGGGAAGGACGAGGGGGGGAAGAGCGAGTTTAATTGCCAGCCGAGAGCTTAGGGGGAAGGGGGCCCGGGCAACATTAAATACCCTCTTCCAAGAGATACGATGTGTTTTCGATACGAGGTTCCCCGGAATCCCGATCCCTTCCCAAAGGCCCGTTGTTCATCCTCAGTGTGTTTTTGACGGCCCCGGGGCCAAGTGAGGGCTCCTAGAGGCTGGAAACGGCGAAGAACCTCCGCCTTGGCTGTTTGAACACGCTGGAGGTCTGGGCTCGGGGTGCGCTCTGACCCGAATTTCGAAGGAAATGCAGCCGTGGCCACGAATGCCCTCGCGGAAGTCCATAAGGGCGAAGACCGAACCTTGGCGGCGCGCACAAGGGGGTAGGGGGAGGGGGGAGGCTTCTTAGAAGGAGGCTGCTCCTCAAGAAGGCGCCACCCTCCCATCTACAGACAAGGCCCGCGCCTTGTAAGATGCAGGGTGCTTCTAAGAAGTCTTCCCCCTCCCCCTGCCCCCCTCTGCGCGTGGTCGAAAGCAAAAACCTACCTGTCCTCGAGTCTTCCAGCCCGTGATGACCGTCTCGATCTTGGCCACCCCGCTGCGCTCGCACAGCCGATCCAGGAGGCTCCAGACCTGGTCCAGCAGCCGGACGAGCGCCTCGGGCGCCAGGACGCCCACGAGGTCGTCAAAGTCCATGATGTCCAAAAATAGCACAGAGGCCACCCGGTCCTTCTCTTGAAATGTCAGTTGATACAACCCGGGGGTTGAACAAGGAGGAGGAGGAGGAGGAGGAGGAGGAGAAGAAGAGGAGAAGAGGAGGACGAAAAGGAGGACGAAAAGGAGGAGCAGGAGGAGGAGGAGGAGGGAGCAGGAGGAGGGAGGAGGAGGAGGAGGAGGAGGAGGAGAAGGGGAGGAGGAGGGGGAGGAGGAGAATGGGAGGATGAGGATGGAGGAGGGGGATGAGGAGGAGAGGAGGAGGAGGAGGAGGAGGAGGAGGAGGAGGGGAGGAGGAGGGGAGGAGGAGGAGGGAGGAGGAGGAGGAGGGAGGAGAGGAGGAGGAGGAGGAGGAGGAGGAGGAGGGAGGGGGGGAGGAGGAGGATGGAGGAGGATGAGGAGGAGGGGTGGTAGTGGGAGGTGGCATGACTTCACGACGGGGTGTTGAACAGGTGTCGGCCTCTGGGAACCCGCACCAGGCCCAGGGGCCATCGAACGACTGCTCATGATGAGAAGCCGGCCCCAGGGAAGGGGTCAGGACGTTGGCTCGATCTACGACCATCTGACTTCTCACGCCCAGGCGTGGTTTCCCTCGATCGCGGCCTCTGGCGCGGGCCCCACTAATATATACGCCACCACCACCACCACCACCACATTGATATTCCTCCTCAATCCTCTACCCTCCTCTTCCTCTCCTCTGCCCTGGCGCGCGGAACGCGCCAGGGGCGGCGCCGGAGGCGCCTCCAGGGGGCCCCAGCACAGACCCAAGAAATCCGCGCGGAACGCCAGCAGTTTATGCTTGTAGCGTTCATTCTTCCTCGAGTTGGGAGGTGGTGCTAGTGTATGTGTTTGGGCCCCGTAGCTGGGGCTCTCGCTGTTGGGCCCATCAGGGCCAGCAGGTCCAGATATGGCGGGCGGAAGAAAACTCTACCCCCCGGGGGGGGGGAGGGCCCGGGCCCTCTGAGGCCCCGCACAGAGAGGAACAGCAAGAGCTGCACACTTTCGGTGGCAACTCCTGGGAGCCTCCCATACCATCTGGTCGGCTCTTGCGAATCTCGACGCTCGTAGGGTATACCAGGCCCCCATGATTTGTGACCGAGCATAAGCATAGGCTTTGGACCGTCCGCGCGGATTTCTTGGATCTGAGCTGGAGCCCCCTCCCTGGCACGCGGAGCGCGCAAGGGGTGGCGCCTGGGGCGCCGCCAGGGGGGGGCCCAGCGCTGACCCAAGAAACCTGATCGGACAAGAACGGGAAGCGCCGCTGTAGTCAAATGGGCGTGCGAAGAAGAAAAGGAAGGCGAGGACAACGAGGAGTCGATGACGAGGACGACGTGGCGAACGTGAGGATAGCGAGGAGGAGCATGAGGACAACGAGGAGGAAGAGAAGCACAAGGACGAGGACGAAGAGAACGAGGGCGAGTACGAGGAGGAGTACGGAGGGCGATGATGACGACGACGACGACGACAGAGGACAGTACGAGGCAATTGGAGAAAGACGTTGCTCCTGGCGCCGCGCGGGGTTCTCTTGGGGCCTGTTGGGGGCTTCTTGGGGGCCCCTTGGGTCCTCTTATGGGCTTCTGGGGTCTTCTTGGGCTGTCTGGGCGCGTCGTGGGGTTCTGTGGGAGCTTTCTTAGGCCGTCTCGGCGCTGGGGGCCTCCTGGGACGCTCCCGGGAGTCTCTTGGGGCCTTCTTGGCCTTTCTTGGGCCGTCTTGGGGTTCTTGTGAGCTGTCTGGGTGGCTCCTAGAGCGCTCTTGGGGGTCTCTTGGGGTCTTCTTCGGGCGCTCTTGGGCGCTCCTGGGGCTCTCCGGGGCATCTTTTGGGCCTCCTTGGGCCGTTGGAAAACACTCCAAGAGCGATTCGAACACGACGTCGATGCGGAGTCCCCTCTTGGGCCGATGTTTGAAGGATGTCTCGAGAGAAACGGCCATTTTTCAAAAATCCGCCAGCGCAGTTTCAAAATGCGGCGCGTACCCAATTATTGATTTGTACCACCAACAAACGGTCCACGCCAGGGGCGCTTCCCGTCATCCGCGCGGTACCGACACCGCACTCCCCAGACCGGGGTGCGTTCTGACTAGGACTTCGAGGCGAATCCAGCACTGGCGACGAGGCCCAGAAAGGGGAAAGCCGAGGGAAGGGTAGAAGTATGGGTACCTTGTCCTGGAACAATTGTATCGTCCGAATGCCGGGGGGACAAAACGCGGCTTTCCCGTGGCGTGCTTCGTCTGCTCCGGGGCTTCGTGGGGGCCTCTCTCCCCTGGCGGCAGGCTCCGCCTCGAACAGCGGGCCGGGCCGGACCGGGCTGGGGGCGGCTTCTGAACGCTCTTGGGTGGTGCAATGTTCAAGCTGAGCTTACCTTTTCGGGGGGGTCGAACGGGTAGGATAGCAAACGATGGGGAAGAACATCGCCTTACGCGGCTGGTTTTCCTGGCGCCTCCTGGCGCCGGGAGGCGCCCGTCTCGAGGACTGGGCCCGGCGGCGGGGCCGTCACCAATTGCATACAGCCGATGTCGTAAGCCCTTTCGTCCGGCCCAACTCTTCCGCCATCGGGGGCGCCCACGGCGAGATCCCGTCGTGACGACGTAAGCGTCTGCTTCCGACACCGCGTGCACCGTGCAACCTCGAACGATCCCAACTTTCCGACAGTGTTAGGTCGGGCATGTCCACCTACAGGCGGACTTTGGACGAACAGTAAAAGATAGTAACAAACATACTCAAGCATAGTCGAGAACGTTCGAAACAATCGTCCCCGGAACTGTTTTTTGACTGTCTTCGGACATGCTTCCCGTAGAGGGCCCTGCCCGACCTACGGCTGGAACCCGGCTTCAGCGTGGGCCGTTCAACCTTGGACGATCCCAACTGTCCGATCGTGCGGCTCGTTCGACGTCGGCTGGCTCTGGGTTTCCGGGGCGTCCGGCCTGGGGCCCGCCCGCGCCGGGGCCGCCGTGCCGGTCCGCGCGGCGCGGCGCGGAGGGGCCTTCTTCTCTGGCCACGGCGCGCCTCGGACCAGGGGGCATCGATCCTCGAATCTGCACACAGTGGAGGCCAGTCCACGAGAAGCCTGCCACAAGAAACCCAGCCCTGGGACCCCAGGACGTCCATGGATTTTTCGGTGTGGGAGCGTGGCGCTCTCTACAGCAAAAACCATCGAGACCCAAGAAACCCAAGGCACCCTGGAGGCACGCAGGTGCCCCCACTGCAATCCGCCTCCCGCGAGCACCCTGCCGAGAGGCGACGTGCAGTGGTGCGCGGCAGCACCGAATGGGCCACGATCCCTCGTACATTACAACGTGATCGCGTTGCCGAGGCCACGAGCAGTGCAGCTTCAAGGCCCCTCCGAACTGCACCAATGAGTCGGCCACGAAGAGGTTCACTGACAGAGATCTGAGGAAGGGCCCGGAAGCTGGAGCCTCAACCGAACCCAAAGTGGTCCTCATTTCGGCGACTTACTCGTAGACCCCCATGACGGTCCGTGGGGGCATGAGCTTAACGGCCGCCCTGGGAGGTACAAGAGCCCGACGGCGGATAAGGGTTGTCTTATTCAGCAACCACTGGCCTTCAGCAGCTTTTGGGAGAGCATGCCGCGGCCGCCGATCTTGAACAGAACATGGTTGACAACCTCCTCGGGGAACATGCCCTTCAGGATCTCGAGGCCTTCATGGCGGGAGTGGGCCATGGTGTCGAGGATAAACCAGTCCTTCCGCATCAGCACCTCGTGTTGATAGCAGTAGTAAAGGGCGAGACCTACTGTCCCGAGCATAAGCACAAGGTACTCTGCGCCAATGCCAGAGCTGATCCCCTCCAAGTCCAAGACTCCGTCCTCCGCAAGGAACAAATAGAATATTACGATCAACGTCAAATGGAAACACAAAACCAACGCAAGATTGATGAAACGTATACGGGCAAAAGCCACAATGAACATGGGCACGTATGTGTTGAAGAGAGCGCCCGTGTTGTCAGCGGCATAGTCGTATAAGTGCTTGAAGACAAGCGAAAACATGAGCAAGATCACGATGAGCTGTTCGAAACGCTGCCCGCAAGACGTGAACAGCCTCGGGGACATGCATGCCACGGGGATGGTGAGGCAGAACATCGACACGACGAGGAAGGCAGCCCACCTCGTGAGGACGTCAACTATACACCTAAACTGATGCTGGCCAGGACCCAATTCTGGGCCCAGGATGGGCACGCGCAGAATCGTGCTGCTGCATCGGGGAAACGACGTGTGAACCCCACCCTGCAGCTCAGAATCCTGACGCGCCGCCAGGGGACCCGCACGCGCACGGTTCCCGAGTGGCCCCACAGCACAGTTTGGAGGGAACGCACCTCTGCGGCGAAACACATCTAAACAGCTTTACGCACTTGAGCGAAAAACGTCCTCCCTCCTCCTCCTCCTCCTCCTCCTTCTGAACTGGACCGGGAACTACCACAGAACGCGTCCTCTTCCTCCTCCTCCTCCTCCTCCTCATACTCCTTCCTCCTCCTCCTCCTTCTCCTCCTATCCTCCGAGTCCCTGCTCAAAAGGGTTCCAAGAGGCCCCCACGACTGCCCAAGAGGGCCCCAAGAGGCCCGCCAGGAGAGCTCGAGGAGGCCAAAATAATTGAACTCTTCGGTGGCTGAAAGATGTTGATGTTCAGTGCTCGCCTATTTGGGCCACGGAACTTCCAATATAGATCCACGATAGCCAGCCAGCCCATGAGGCCCCCCAAGAGGGCCCCGAATCGGCCCTAGAGGACCCCAAGTCCCCGAAGGACCTCAAAGCGCCCCCAGGAGGGCACCAAGACGGCCCAGAGACGCCCCCAAGACGGCCTCCGAAGGCGCCATACGGGCCAATTGCCTCCTTAAGACGGTCCAAGAGGCCGGAAAAAAAGGCCACCAAGAGGCCCCCGAAAGGCCCCCAATAACCCCCCCCAGGAGGCCCCCAGGAGGCTCCAAGAGGGTCCCCAAGATTTTTTTTGGTTCTCCTCGTCCCCACTGTCTCCCTCTATTCCTCCTCTTCCTCCTCCTCCTCCTCGTCCTCCTCGTTTTCGTTTTCTTCCTTCTTTTCAACCTCCTCGTCCTGCTCATCGCCCTCCGTCCGTTCTTTTGGATCACCAACCCAATGCCACACATGGTTTGGTTAGAGGATGCGCCTAGCGATACCTGCATCTTAGGATGGTTGGTTGGGATCGGCATGCGGCCTCCCGGAAGCGATCCCGCGATGTCGTCAGAAACGATGTTTGCCCGAATCTGTGCCATCGCATGTGTCGTTTGAGGCTGTCCCTAAAACAATCGTTTTTTTTTGTCTTTTCTGAATCATCCATGCGTCCGTGGGGCCATTATGGGGTCCTTTTTGGGCCCTTGTTCCTCCGTATCCGAACGTGTCAGTCAACGACACCAACACTATGCTTACACCATACCAATGTGTGGGGAAGTCCCGAACGGCATGGGTACGTTTAGACATGGCGTCGACCCATATAGCAATCGTGCTGGTGCGCATTTTCCGATGGTGTCTCGGGGGGGGCGGCGGCCCTTGACATGAGAGGCAGCAGCGCAGCCCTGTCAACATCATGTTGCTTCGAGGCTGTCTCACGCGAAATGTCCATGTCCGCAGACGCTCGCCACATTCAGCTTTCGGAAGCTGTCTCGAATGAAGCGCTGGTATTGTGCACGACGATGTTGCGAACACCTCATGTTGGTGTACCTGCCTCGGGCGAAAGTCACAACGCGAAAAATCCGACCCGAACCCGTGCAATCCGCCACGGTTTAGAGTTACACATTTTGGACAAGTGGCATCGTTAACCAGAACGTCCAACTCGCTTCGCGCTCTTCGAACGCACTTCTCGTCATCTGCCCAGCGAAAACCGTCAACGAGAGCCCCTTGTCCCTCGCGGGTTCGGTTCTTTACCATTCCTTACACAACTTGGCCTAGCTCACGCTTATGACCTTCTCGTTCAGAGAAGGCGCCTCCCGTCGTCTGAACCCTTAGTTGGAGAAGCGATGACAAACTACGAGCGGTCGACGCCAGAGGCGCTTTTTGAAACCGCGGCCCCAGATCAAGAGGTCCAACAAACGATCACAAGGCCAACCGCGTGGTCGACCCGCGCGCATGCGCATCCACAAACGTCACATGCGGAACGCGCCACCCACTGGTGGGAGGTTCGCACATCAGTATCTGGCCCTCTGGCCAAGGGACTGGTGGCAGGCAACGAAACTCAAATGGCGCAGCGCGGCAGGCGCGGAGAAGCTTAGCGCCTCAATGCTGGAGCCTGGAGCCGCCCTTGCCAGCACTGCAGAGTCGGCAACGCTCCAGGATGGTGAAATGAGGGCGGCAGATAGACAGATCGACCACCTTTCTGCGGGCTGCGGGCCGAACCGAACTCAAAATCACCAGCGCAGCAGGCCAGAGGACCGGGAAAAGGCAAGAGACACGCCGGCGTTGAAAAAAAAAACACAATAGTGCAACAGCTGAAACCTCACCAGGGCGAGAACACAAAACTTGGCCGAGTCTAAGCACTGCGGTCACTGTTGGCTCTCGCGGGCCACTGAAGAGCAGTGCACCAACTTCCCATTCAGCTTGATCCGAACGTCGCGGAATTGGTTGTAGTAGTCGTAGTCGACCGAAAACCACCGGATGTAAACGCACGGGAAGCCAAGTCACTTGGTGACAGTCGGGTCCCACACGAGCCATCTAGTGAACGCGATGTCCGATTTGTTGTGCAGCCGTGGACAGCCCTTACTGAATGTCCTCAACTCCGATGCGTCGATGAAGCAGGTACCGTAGGCTGGCGTTTAGCGTGCGCGATGGCCTGTGGTGCCCGGATCATCCTGAACTTCTTCGAGCCAAGTACCGTGTTACAGTCACATAGAGAGATGATCGAAGCCCCGCCGCGTCCCCACACTTGGGCACCCACGCATCTCCCGAGGCTGTTGCAACTGCTGTGTCGCCGGATTGAATGAATCCATAGCATCGGCCCGCCACAACGTCCTGGCCTTCATTGAGATCGGACCGCGGCCACGCCCGCCCTGTGGCGAATTGCGCGGCATGCGCGGCGATTGCAAATGATGCTGTGCACTGGCTCGCTCCCATCACCGGTATCAACCGACAACGCGGAACTCCACGGTGATCGCGCCGTCACCGAACGCTCGGCCCTCCAGCGTAAGTAACTTCGGCTAGCGATGGGGCGAAGAAAAAAAGGGAAACGAAACATGTCCCGCCATCAAGTGCATGCATGCTGCGCGGGGGCTTGCGACCACGCCGACACACGAGAAACGCCAGGAATCGCTCGAGCCAGGGGCCTTCCAGAGGCGCTTCCCGTCATCCGCCACCGTGACCCCTGGCACGCTGAGGCGTGCTAGACTGCCACGTGCCGTCTGGCAAGATTCTTGTGGTCTTCTATCTTCTAGGCGCCATCCCCCCCCCCCCCCGCTCCCCACACTGCGCCGCGTGCGTCGCCCCCTCTCCCGAGTCCACAATCCCTTGCAACATGCAGCACGTTCACTCTCCCGTGGCCATACCCTGGGCCAGAAATCCCCCCAGACGAGCCCCCAGGGGGCCCTAAGATGGCCACGAGAGAGCCCCGAGGGGACCTCGAAAAGATCAGCTCTTGTTGGCCGTGGCTCTGAAGAGGCGGGTGGGGATGTTTTTTTTTGTTTTTGATCTGCGGCTCCAAGGACGATTCCAGAGAGCGGGTTGTATCGAGCATGGGGTAGCACGCAAGATAATTGCCAGCGGGCCAAAAGCCAACGCCGGAGAGCACATGTGCCAGAGAGGGCGTAGCAAGCTTGGGGGGCCAAGCGAGATAATTGCCAGCGGGCCAAAAGCCAACGCCGGGATGCACGTGAGAGGGGAGAACCCCATGAGGCCCAGCAGAAGCAGGACGGCGAGCAAATAATTGCCAGCGGGCCAAAAGCCGACGCCAGAGAGAACACGCGGGGGAAAAATGAACCGCAACCGACGAGCCCGGCACCCGGTGAAAGCGAGGCTTAAACCAGGAACCCTCACTCACGGAGCAACTGAAAGCTCATGGTCGGCTGCACGCAACCAGTGGGTTGAAGCTCCACTGGGCACGGTCGTCAGGACCGAAGTGCGTCGAGGGAGGCGTGGGCCTTCCCGCCGACCCCATCTGGCCAAGGTGCGCCCAGGCGGGCAAACGACCATGTCCGTGAACGGGGCCAAGTGGGCGGGTGGGGATGCGCGAAGCGTGGAGAATTGGGACTCTGGCTCCTCCGCCTCCTCCCCCCTTCGGTGGCAACTCATGGGAGCCTTGCATGTCCTCGAGTCCTCGAACTCCCGTCTTCGGAATGCATTTGGGGGAACCCGAATGCTACCGATACCGCCAATCCCTGAACCGCTCCCAGGGTGCGCCCTGACCAAGCTTTCGAGGCAAATCCATCGGTGGCGACGAGGGCCGCCCTGGAGACCCGATGGCTGGCGATTTGGCCATGGCTGGAGAGTCGACACCCTGGAGATCCATCGGGCGCGTTGGCTGGCGCCGATCTGGCGTTGCTTAACGTCCGCCCGTCTTGGCTCAGCTGCGCGCAAGAATGACCGTGGGCTAGGCACAAGTGACCTCTAGTGCGCGGCTTAGGGGGTCGACATAGGAGGCCAAACCTAAGCAATCCAGGCGTGAAAATGCAGCGGGATCCGTGTGGGCCCGAACCAAAGGTGACTCCGAAGAAAGGTCTCTCTTAATCGTTGCCGTATGGCTCCTCGTCGTGTGCCGCCGCGCTGGAGGGCCTGAAGGAGTTCGGCCGGCCGGCTGGCCTCAGCATCTTCCTCCTCTCCATCTACTCGGCCACTTTCTCACCCTCGCTCCCTCTCCGTCCTCCCCCTCCTCCTCCCCCTCCTTCCTCCTCCACCTCCTCCCTCCTCCTCCTCCTCCTCCTCCTCCTCCTCCTCCTCCTCCTCCTCCCTCCTTCTCGGGCGCACGCTGCTAGCATGGGTTGTGAATCCGCGGAGCTGCCGCGTGGGCGCCAGGTCCGCGAGGGCCTGGGAAACGTCCGTGCCCGACACGAGAGGCCAGTGCCGCCCCGTCGGGGGACGCAGCGCGCCGATCTCGCACGAAAGCGGGACCCGTCGCTACTCCGTACCACCTGATTTACAGTCGGGGCGTTGACCCAAGGAACCCTAGATAAGGAACGAAGCCCCTTTGTCCATGAATTAAACTTCGATGTCCCATCGAAAACTTACGGAAACCAGACGGCAAACTGTGAAACAACTAGGGAGCACGGAGCCCCTTCCCAACGCAAAGGGTTCCTTCTTCAGCGCCCCGACTGTTTGTTCCCATCGCACTTGAGGACGAGGACCATATCCCAGAACCAATCTCGAGCACCCTGAGAAGGTCTCGGAACGGTGCCGAAAGAATATCGCCTCCCAAGGCCCGACGCGTGGAATCCGTGCAGTTTCGTTGCTTTCCTGGTGCTCGAGACTCTCTCTGGTGGTCAAGGCCAAAACATCATAAGCCTTGATCCGTGGCTGCATTTCCTGCTGAGGGCGGCCCCAGAGGGGTCTGAGCTGGAGCAGCCCAGAAAACTTCGGTCAGGAGGAGGGATGAGGGCACATCTGCTCAAGATCCGTCTTCGGGACTCTCCAGGGGTCGGAACTGAACAGTTCTTCGAGCCGCGTCTAGACGTGGCGACGAGGGCGCCGCTTTCTCCGACATCCGAACCCTACCCCCGCCAACAATCGTCTCTGCTGAACCGATGAGAGGCAGGGGTAGGGCTCGGATACGTCCATGTGCTCGACGAGATCCGAACTCTACCCCGCCGCCCATCCAGCTGCCTGAATCCTTGATCGGCGAGAGTAGGGTAGGATTCGGATTTCGCCGACTCGATGTGTGACGCCGCCATCTGGGACCTACTGTCCCGGGTCTGTGCAAACCCGGGTCAATCAGGATCTGAAGGGTCCTGCAAGATCATGCAGGATCATGCAATATTCTGCACGCAAGCCCAGGCCAATGCACCTCTGGCTCTGCAGGATTCCGCAGGATTCGGCGCTCTGGCGGATCCTTGTTTGCACTGACCCCCGTCTCTTAGAGGAAAAAGAACTATGCACATGCACCGATTCTGGCCAGGCTCATCCTGAGCCCAGGATCGGTGCATACGCCCTCCTACCTTGGCCAGGAAGGCATATGCACCGATCCTGGGTCAAAGATGGGCCTTGCCAGGATCGGTGCATGTGCATAATTCTCTTCGCCCGAGTCTCTTGAGCCCCGTCATAAACATAAACTTTTCGCGCTCCGCGCGGATTTCTTGGATCTGCGCTGGACGCCCATCCCTGGCGCGCGGGGCGCGCCGGGGTCGGCGCCGCGGGCGCCGCTGGGGGGGGGGCCCCGCGCGGATCCAGGAGATCCGCGCGGGGCGCCACAAGCCTATGTCTGTGGCGTTTGGTTCTTCTTCGAGTGGCGCCCCCCGGGGGGAGGCCCCGCGCGATGCAAGAAATCCGCGCGGAGCGCCACAAATTTACAACCAGGACCATGGCGTTTTATCTTCCTCGAAGAGCGCCCCCCGACCACCTGCCCTCCCTGGGCTCCAGGACGAGCTGGATCAGGTTGTACGCCGCGCATGTCGAGGCGCAGCAGGCGCAGAAGAAGCGGAACAGCGGGAGGGCCCGCCGCTCGAGGAGCGTCCTTCTCTCCGCGGAGGGCAGGGCCGAGCCGCACCGCACCGCGAGGTCGGATCGGATCGGAAACGGATCGCATCGACAGCGGATCGATCCGGATCGCATCGGAATCGGATCGCCGAGCCTGGCTCCAATCGGCCCTGGCCGACCTGGGCCGGCACGGAAACGGAACAAGCGTCTCAGCAACCTGCCCGAGAGTGCTCATTGCACCCTTCGCTCTTGGGAGCCTTGGTGGCAAGAGCTGGTTGCGTCACCGCTCATTCTTGGGAGCCTTCGTGTTCCGAGACTTTGACGTTGCCGCTCGTTCTCGGGAACCTTGGTGTTGAGAGTTGTGTACGTCACCGTTCGCTCTTGGGAGCCTTGGTGTGCACGAGTTTGTCACGTCACCGTTCGCTCTCGGGAGCCTTGGTGGGAAGAGCTTGTTACGTCACCACTCTCTGTTGGGAGCCCTGGTGTTCAGCGATGCTTACGTTGACGTTCGCTCTTGGGAGCCTCTTGGGCCGTCTTGGGGCGGTCTTGGGGGCCTCTTGGGCCGTCTTCAACGCCGTGAAAGCCGACAAGCCGTATGTGCTAAAGATGTACGTTTTCCTATGGGCCTTCCATGATTTTGGCCTCTAGGGGCCCTCTTGGGACGCCTCTTGGAGGCCTCTTGGGGCTTCTGGGGGGCTCTTGGGGCCTCCTGGGAGGTTCTTGGGGCGAAAGGCTAGACTTTTCAATTCGTGGTCCCCCCTCCTGGGGCAATATTGGGGCCCTCTTGGGCCGTCTTGGGCGCCTCTTGGGCCGTCTTGGGGCCCTCTTGGGCCGTCTTGGGGGCCTCCTGGGAGCCTCTTGGGCCGTCTTGGGGCCTCTTGGACCGCCTTGAAAGCCGTGCAAGCCGAAAAACCGTATATGCTAAACATGTACGTTTTTCATAAGAAAATCAATGATTTTGGCCTCTTGGGGGCCTCTTGGGGCGCCTCTTGAGCGCCTCACGGGGCGTCTCGGAAGCCTCTTGGGCCGTCTTTGGGCCGTCTTGGGCATGTTGGACCGTCTTGGAGCCGTCTTGGACCCCTCTTGGACCGTCTTGAGCGCCCAAGACGGCCCAAGACGCGCCCAAGAGGCCTCCAAGACGCCCCGAGCGGCCATTCGGTCCCATCCCTCAGCCCCTCCCCCCCTCTGTTCTTCCCCTAGAAGGCTTCGCCCAAACACAACGTCATCACTCGTACCTCGCTCTTTCCGTTATGCCAGCGAACCGAGCCGAATCGAATCGAACCGAAACCGCGGCCCCAGCCAGCGAATCGAATCGCATCGAATCGGATCGCAGGCGGCCCTGTAGGGTCACTAGCAAGTGGGGGCTGGGCTCCAATAGGTTAAGGTGGCGTCGGCGCGCGGCAAGGTTTTTGACACCGCTTCGATGGTTCAACCGTGCATCGATCGCGACCCCGACCGTTCAAGGTTGAACTCCGTCGGGTGCAATGAACGTGTTATGTTCCTCGGTGCTTCCGCGTCGCAACATTCAACCTTGAACGCCTTCGCTGGCGTCGCCCGCGCGAAGCATCGACTTGCAGTCGGCGATGCGTCGCTAATAGATCGGCGACAGGCCCCCCACAGCGACTCTGCACGCGCCTGGGCGGGGTGGGCTATCTTTAACCTATCGGCGATCAGTCAACGAGTAGGGGTCGATGAACCTTCCTGAGCCTATCCCCCTCTTGAAGCTGCCCCTGGTCATCCACCTGGAAGAAATTCTGCTGTTTTGCAAAAAGAACACCTTTCTTCATAGTATGTTGATCGAAACGGGCGTCTCGAAAGATAACTATTGCCCCCCCCCCCTCTGGTGCCAGATCGTGGTTTTCACTTGGAGTGCCCATCCTGGGGCTCGCACCCTGGTTTGCACAAGGAGGGGAATCTTGTGCCTCAGACTGTGCCACTGGCCCTCGGCTGACGGCAACAACGGTTTCCGCACGATTCTTCCACACAACTCATTCAAAATCGCGCTCTCGCGCGGGACCACCGCAGAATTTGTGCAAGGCCAGTGTATTATTCTGGCATTCCCCAATTCCTTGTGCCCCTTTCCTCCTCCCTCGCTTCCTGCACGCCTTCTTCCTCGCGCTCTCTTGTTTCCTGTCTACCTCCTTTGTTCGGGTGGTTAGAGGGCAAACGATCCACCCGCATACGAGTCACCCCGAAAAGCGGTGCCGTTTAGTAAACGCACCCAGGAAAAGAATCGAACAAGGCAGGGCTGTTAAAAAAACCGCCCGAGGCCGTTTAGTAAACGCCAATTATCGGGTCCGGGTGGTTTTCCTCCCCTTGAGTTTGAAGGCAAATGGGGGCGCGATCGAAGACGAAGAGGGCGGGCACCTGGGGTCTTGGATATACATGTTGAGTGACATGCGGGCAGGTAACAACGAACCGTCTGGAAGTGATTGCTGTTGTTGTTGATTAAGATCTCAGAACTAAAGGCAAATGATTGTTGATCCCCCCTCTGCTTGACCTGAACTTCGCCAATTCGAGTGCTACTCCCGGGGCAACAACAATGCGTTGTTGGCCCCCGATCTACAACAACAACGGCTCCCATCTCGTACTCTTCCACGCGAACAACATCAATCATTTCGAGAGTGTTCTCTCCTAGCTGCTCACGTGCTAATCAGCACGTCTATCCCAAACCCTCGGTACCCACCTTCGTCGTCTTCGATCGTGCCCCCTTGGGGGTATATCCTCCTTACCTGCCACGTGCATTTAGTGCAGCCCCTAAAACAAGGAAAGAGAGGACGGGTGGAAGGGAGAGGGAGAATAATGGAGCACGAGAGAAATTAGCAGGAGGGGGGCAAGGAGCAGAAACCAAGTGGTAGAACCAGACGGGCAGATCGGGTGGGCAGACCCATAGCGGGCAGGTCGGGAAGGCGGCCCAGGCGACGAGGTCGAGCATGCGGGCTGCTGAAGCGTAGGTCCTGCATCCATCGCGAGGAAGTCTCGAGCGATAGCGCGATTCCTAAGTACATCGTGAGAGAAGCCAGCGTGGGTCACGAAGGGCATCAAATCCGATGCCAGAGGGCAGCGACGGGGCGACCGAGGGCAGCATCAGGGCCACGATGGGCAGCGAGGGGGGCACACAGGGCGACAGCGGGGCCACGAAGGGCATGCATATGGGGCCACGACGGATCGCGAGCGACCGGGAGCCACGAAGGGCATTCGTATACGGGGCGACAGAGGGCGACAGCGGGGCCACTGAGGGCAGCAAAGGGGCCACGAAGGGCAGCGAGGGGGCCACGAAGGGCGACAGCGGGGCTGCGAAGGGCATGCGTATGGGGCCACGAAGGGCGCGTGCGAGCGGGGGCCACGAAAGGCATATAATGTGGGGCCACAAAGGGCAGCGACGGAGCCACTGAGGGCAACAACGGGGCCACGAAGGGCAGCGAGCGAAGGCGACCGCGGAACCAGTCCGGGCAGCGAGGGGCATCGAAGGCGGGCGAAGGGCAGCGAGCGGCGACTGCAGTCATTAACGGGCTGGTCGGGCGGGCAGGCCCCGACGGCGGGTCGAGCGGACGGGTCGTTGAAGCGTGAGTTCTGCTTGAACCGCCAGGCAAGATGCAGCGGGAGCGCGATTCCTGAGCGCCGAGGACTGGCATCTGAATACATTGTGCGGAAAAAACAAGCGAAACGGTTCGGTGGTAAGTTGCGAGGAAGTCCCAAGCGAGAACGCGATGTTGTAATACATTGTCAGAAAGTTTCAAGCGGGAGCCGCGATTCGCTGGCAAATTTGAAGGAAGTCCAAAGCGAGAGCGCGATTCTTCAATAAATTGAGGAGGTATCAGCCGGGAGCCGCTGTTGTTGTAAACTGGGGGCCATCGACACGGTTTGAACTTCAAAACATTCCCTGATTAAATTCAACTGACGAAAGACCCAACCATACGTAGTTGTGAATACCGCACTTGTGGATATATTCCTCGGTGGCGCCCCCGGGCCACGAAACGAGTGAGGGGTGTGCCGAAATAAGGGGGTGGAACCGCATGCGAGCGCAGCCACGGGGCGTTCGGTGGAGCTCCCTATGGGGCCACGAAGCGTGTGAGGGGTGTGCCAAAATTGGGGGTGGAACCGCATGCGGGCGCAGCCACTGGAGCCTTCGGTGGAGCTCCCTATGGGGCCACGAAGCGTGTGAGGGGTGTGCCAGAATGGGGGGTGGAACCGCATGCGGGCGCAGCCACTGGGGCCTTCGGTGGAGCTCCCTATGGGGCCACGAAACGTGTGAGGGGTGTGCCAGAATGGGGGGTGGAACCGCATGCGGGCGCAGCCACTGGGGCCTTCGGTGGAGCTCCCTATGGGGCCACGAAACGTGTGAGGGGTGTGCCAGAATGGGGGGTGGAACCGCATGCGGGCGCAGCCACTGGGGCCTTCGGTGGAGCTCCCTATGGGGCCACGAAACGTGTGAGGGGTGTGCCAGAATGGGGGGTGGAACCGCATGCGGGCGCAGCCACTGGGGCCTTCGGTGGAGCTCCCTATGGGGCCACGAAACGTGTGAGGGGTGTGCCAGAATGGGGGGTGGAACCGCATGCGGGCGCAGCCACTGGGGCCTTCGGTGGAGCTCCCTATGGGGCCACGAAACGTGTGAGGGGTGTGCCAGAATGGGGGGTGGAACCGCATGCGGGCGCAACCACTGGGGCCTTCGGTTGAGCTCCTATGGGGCCACGAAACGTGTGAGGGGTGTGCCAGAATGGGGGGTGGAACCGCATGCGGGCGCAGCCACTGGGGCCTTCGGTGGAGCTCCCTATGGGGCCACGAAACGTGTGAGGGGTGTGCCAGAATTGGGGGTGGAACCGCATGCGGGCGCAGCCACTGGGGCCTTCGGTGGAGCTCCCTATGGGGCCACGAAACGTGTGAGGGGTGTGCCAGAATGGGGGGTGGAACCGCATGCGGGCGCAGCCACTGGGGCCTTCGGTGGAGCTCCCTATGGGGCCACGAAACGTGTGAAGGGTGTGCCAGAATGGGGGGTGAACCGCATGCGGGCGCAGCCACTGGGGCCTTCGGTGGAGCTC